TCTCATGTGGGACTAACAAGAATGATAATGGATGTTCCATAATATCCTGGAGCAGTAGATGGAGAAAAAAAAACAGATCCATTTCAAGATTAGGGTATATATAGGAATATGAATACCCCAATGCACAGCATGATCATACATATACTTCCAGGAAGTTGACATCATGTGATCGTAAAAATCACAAACACCATTGCATCCGAGACAGAGTGTGGGAGATTACATATTGCATTCAATAGACTACAGTATCTAGAAGTATGCATATTAGGGATTTATTCCTATCCTATAAAACAATCTTGTATTTCAATTCCATTTCATTTGAGACTGCAGTAACTCAGAATCACCACAACGACCCTGCTTGAAAAATGAAGCTTGTGAAACTAAACTTGTTTTATCAACAATCTTGTATGACATGGAAACTAAAAATATTTTGCACACTGTATTCCTATATCACAGTATAACATATTAGTAACTTTACTGACACCTATTTGTTAAAATGATCCTTGACTGACAAAAAGCCCCCAATTAAATTTTCATAAAGTCTAGCTTTATTCCTCTACTTGATTATCTCCCCTTTGTTTGAAACTTGTTGGGATATACAAATGTAGCATTGAAGATGGAGCATCAACATCTGGATTCTGTGGTTTTATGATAGTTACTATAGTTAGGATTTTTCATTCATTGTTGGGATATTGTGTTGGAAATTGGTTAAGATTTCAACATCCATGATTCGTAAAAATATTGTTAGCTACAACAGATCGATTTTTAATTTAGAATTACTGCTCCAAATCTCTTGTTTTCACTCTTCTATAGCACTGTTGCACAATACTAACAATCTTCAAACATCTGTTTTGTTCATTTCTCAAATTAATGAATAACAGCTATGTTGTTTGACTGTTTAATATGGTTCTAAAATTAGAACTAATGATAAGTTACATTATACCCACCACTACATATTTTGTTTGCAGCATATTTTCAGAATTTCAATTTGGTAACATCATGAGCAATGATATATGCACCAATTAAAATTGGTAACACAAAAAATTCCTGTTTGAAAATACAAAAGTATACATGATAGAAATAAAAGCATAATTATGCCTTTAACTTCCACATAGAGACCACGAAGATAGAATAGCAGTTTTGCTTCAACCAAAATGAGTTTGTAAATCTTTGCTTGCAATGGTGCACATTTCAAGTTATTTCAATATTACAAGAATTAATGCATAGTGTAAATGCATTTACTAGACTAATATGAAATGACGAAAATACAAGTGGATTTAGTTGTTCAACAATCGTACTTTCAGATGTCGAATCACAAGTATTGTACCTCTACAGTAAAATTTGAACACTGCAAAACTCACTAACCTTAATTTACATATATATATATCTATATATCATCATTAAGCCTGTGACCTGATGTTTTATCCGTGTTTATTTTGTCAATGGTAAACCTTCAATTATTTACTTAAATAAGTATGTATTTTCCACACACTCATTCGTTATTTTCATCCATGATCACAAGACACTTTTTTTATCATACACTGCCAGCTCTACCATACATAGTTTTGTAAATGTAAATTTTGAAAATCTTCATTGAGCATCATTTATTAACACTTTTCAAATATTTACTTTATATATATTGAGTATCTGGCAAGAAACTGTATTTAAAAGCAACAATGAAAGTAGAATATAAACTTCTGGTTTTGAAAAATTATCATTTTTGTTGGCATCTAATAATCGTTGGAAAGTGGTTGCCTATTCCATTTGATATTGATTATAATTGATCTTTGGTACAACACTATCAGGATATGCAAATATATATCTAAGAGATCAAAACTATAGTTTCATATTCAAAAGAAATAGAGTTGTACAGTCATAGCTGATTCGTTCATACAGAATGGTAACACTACTTCTTCCCTACACCACTGACTAGCAGCTCTGTCAATATGCATGTCTTTTTCCTACATATATACACAGTACTAATTTCTGTTACAACAGCTGTGTATAATTGGACAGACACTACATGTGCAATAAAACACACACTTGTATTCATTGAGCAACTCTGTATCGTAAGTCTTCCACAATCATAGTAATTCAACTCGGGCAGACAAAATCAAAATAGCGAACATCTGACTTATACATGAAATTAACTCCTTACTGTCTCTTAACTCAATAATCAGTATTTTCTTATACTTCTAATGATGACAAGGAAAATGATACAGTCTGGATCTGTCCTTGTTGAATGCATTTTAATTGATAGGACTATTTCATTAATATCATTAACAAAGTTTCAAAATGCACACTCAAAATCAATCAGAAATAGCCTAATATAATTCCGCAGATTTGGGAACAATTTTCTAAACATGAGTGACCTCCCTTCTCATACTATGAGCCTAACACTATTATCAGTTTTTAAACAATGTGTGACATTCAATGTTACATGTTCCAATACCTTTAAAGACCCTTCCAAAAGACAAATGATAACATTGAAAGCAATCAATAAAAAACACACACACACGCACACACACAAAAAATAAATACTTTAATTTATATTCAGGATGAAATTATTGTTTTTCATCAGTGATAATCCCTTGAAACTTGAAAGTGTGACAAAATGCCCTATGCTTACAAATTAAGAGTAATCAGGTAAGCACAAGTATAGTCTATCATCAATAAATGGCATCATATGTTTATCTTGGCTTTGAAAAAAACATGCCATCCAGTTCAAAAGTTGTCCAAAGATATTCTAATATGTTGTTGGTTAATCTGTCACACTTGTGGCCATTTCATATCAAAATTATTATTTATTGATAAACATAAGTAATTTCAAATGACACTCATCTTAGTGTCATATCAAATTTCTGAACTTGTTAAATAAATAATTATACAGCAGTAACTTTTGTAGGATTTTTTTAGGCCAGTTCTGAACACTATATCCAAAATTTTGATGAGTCACATTACTAAGAGATGTGAAAAGTGTTTCCAAAATTTGAGCTAGTCCAAGAGAAAAACCTTAAGTCCAGGATTCATATATCAGAGTCAAAACAATCACTGCATTGCATTGACATGGTCAGTACATTCTATTACAAAATCATCATATTTACTTGGCTTATAATAATCTGACATCTTTAAGAGCCAAAGTTACAGGTACATAAAATAAACTTACCAAGCAAACTGAATGTTAGAATATTACTGTGAGCCAGATGGGGTTTCTAGGTTTTCAACTATCTAAATTTTAATATAGTATATTTACTTTAACATTAAGTTCCTACACTATTTTGATTTTCATTGTGCACAAGGCCTGTGCAATTCATTATCCCCAGTAAATGAAAATATTTTCCATTAGCAAGACTTAAAACTCATAATACAGATGCTTATTTCCATACCCAATTTTAAGTACAACCCAGATGTACTACAATAAGGTAAAGTTTAAGTGCAAAATGAAAATGTCATCCACATCAATACTTGACCTTGGCTAGAACACTTAACCTTTGTAACTAGAATTGTGTTTTAACACAGGATGAAATATACTGAGAAAGGAGATTAACCCATTGGTTACAGTCCATTGACACTTAAATGTAAAAACTTTTTTTCAGTTATAAATTTTTACCTTTTAACATTATAACATGCTGCATTCCAGTGTCACCTATCATTAATTTGTATGCTGTGTTCTTCATCTCGCTGCATGTAGTAAGCCTTTATCTTGTAACAATATCTATATAACCCTGGTAAAACACTAGCTGCAGTATACTTCTTGGCTAGTGGGTAAACTAGAGGTCCTAGGTTTCAATCCTAGAGGAGGTATCAAAATAAATAATGGCCTCTGGTACATTGTGCCCAAGTAGACTCGGAAATAAAGAAATAGCGTTACTTTTATAAGCACTGCTGTAATCCCTGGAAACTCAACAAGGACGAGTAACTTCCTGAAGTGGGATGTGCAACACTGGTAAATTACTAACTGTAGTATATATACTGCTTGGCTGCAGACAGAGAATTTCTGTAAAGCTCACTCAGCTGAGTGCAAGACTGGTAAGCCTGAGGTCCTGGGTTCGAATCCTAGCAGAAATATTGCAATAAATAATGACTAGTTACCTTTATACTGGTGAATACTACAGCAGTCCTATCCAAGCCTTCTCCTTCAATGTTTGAATCATGTACCAGTCATTATAGGCTTTTTTTCAATATTAACACTGCTTTAGAACAAGGTAAATATTTCAAGGTATTGAGTTCTCAAATATCTGTTATGCAGTTTAACTTCAATTCCATATGTACCTAACAGTTACACACTTCATACATTAAAATCAATAAGTTTGTCTATTGGTCAAGCTTTGTTGGAATTCATCATGATATTGCTACTAAAAGCTACCTCTAAAATATATGTATTCAGGATGGTAGTCATGGCTTCCTTCTATGACCTGAGTGTCCATTTCCTTCTATGAACTAAGTGTCATGAACATTACATTCCTTTTATGAAGGGGTGGAGGTGGGGATATAGATACACAGAATAAGATTCAACATGAATATTTATACCCAAAGTCATTCATAAAATGAGAATAGATGTTTTCATTAACACCTCATGCATGTAAGAAGTTTGAGTATAATGATGGAAGTTTTTGTAAACCTTTTTTGTAACTTCAAATAACAATTCCAAGAGTTGCCTTCAAAATCTTTTTTTTCAACACAACAACACCTATGACACTAGTTAGTGTATAACACTAATTTAGTTTGTGAACAAAGAAACTAAGAAAATGAATGACAGTGCAATGTATTGACTTACACGGGTGTGCTCTGTAAAAGAAGTTAAATAACATACATCCGGTATGCCCATCTTACAGTTTATTTTCATCACCCAACACATTTCATACATGTATAGTAACTCCTTGTATCATCATCATTTATCGAAAAATTTAATGTCATTCGTGTCGCATAACTCTGCAGATATCAACCATCTGAGCCCATTTCCGACCACTTATAACACTCATGCATCCGGATGTGATACTTACCAGCCGGCTCAAAAAAAGTCCCCGGTGGAGGTCGGGATGGTTCTTTTTGTTTCCCTTTGCTTTTTCCAGCAGTCTTATTCTCTTTTCCTTGTTGAGCCCCCATTCTTCATACAACGTCGGTCTCAGACCTATTTCTAACCCCCTACGCCTAGCACCATGCTTACAAACGATTCACTACATCTCTGTCAATCTAAGATGTACAATAAATGGCGTCACTAGGTTTCATAAATGTTATATACTTCGTCACAGCGGCAAAATATAATGACACAGATCTACTTCCTTCCCTTTTCGGTGGCCGCCATATTGTCTATTCCGCATCGAAAACGAGGTTGTAAATTTCACCGACAGATGACGGTGACCTCATCACTGATCATTTACGCACGCTTTGTTTGGGGAAACACCCTTTAATTGCTATTTTTAGAACGGAATCACGCCTATTCTGGACGCTGATAACCGCATCAATCCGTGAAGGAGGAAAAATTAAAGATGGATACATATATTTACTTATTTTGTACCTATGTGTTTGGCTCAACCACTGTGATCGTTGCTAACATTAAGTTATGGTAAATTAATTGTGAGTTTCCACGGCATTTTAGTTCCATGCGCATCACTTTATCTTAGTCCGTAATTACAATACACATTCCTCGATTCGATAACTTTGATATATTTAAAGTGAGCTTTTAGAAAAAACATTAGAAGTCAACTACAATGAAATAATTTACCAGAACAAAATGCCAATGTGAAGTGCCAATTGAAATATTACAGATCAGTAGCAAGTGAAAATGTAGAAGCATTATATAGGCCTAATGCAAGCTTTTCTTCTACACTAAATATCATCTAAGAAAAAATAAACCATTTGTGATATGACAATTTTTAGCATCTATTATAAGAGAATTTACCGAATAATGCATTGTATCGTAGAAATAACAAAGATTTATCGAAAATTGAATAGAAAAAGGCAAATATGACGATATGATACGCATCCGGATAATCGTTTCTTTAATCACTTCAATGTAAAGACGTGTACAAGGTCGTGCTGTGCAGTATTTTCACACTCACAAACATCAGACATCGTGAAATAAAACTCTTCATGTCTTTAGAAATATGTTAGTTTTAACAATTTTATTTTCATTCAATATTCTACAATATTACACATACATAAATTACACATGGGAAGACCTGCTTAGAGCTTATATTAATGTTAATAAAAGAAAAATGATTAAAAAAAAAAAAAACCAGATACGCGTACAGCTCAACCTCATTAGACTAGCGTCAGATGTATCTATAAGTATCCAGTTACGGAATTAACACAACTTATCGATGATAACTATGACATAAACGAAGGGAAATATTGATTTTTTAAAAACGTCTAAAAAAACCCAGAAAACAACAGATTCGTTTTGCTGGATAAAAGAAATAACAACCAACATAAAAATGGACATTATTCGTTTTAATCTCCAGCAGATTTATTCAACTACAGTTACTAATAGTGTAACTAGTGTAAGTCGATTTTTGTAAATTTGTTGAATTCTTTTATCCCCCCCCCCTTCCACACACAACTGTAAATCTGGATTCCCACTACCTTTTCTAGTTCCGATGATAAACCCTGATTTAATTATCGTTAGAAAGCTCTGCCTATGCAATATTTAGTTGCTTTAAATGATTAAGAAAAAGGCGTATAAAATAACGGAAAGTAAGTTAAAAAGGCAATATCTTAGTTTCGAAGGTGATATGTTGGAATGTTCGAGAAAATGTGATCCAAGGTCCTTGGGAAAAAGAAAGCGACCCCGCCTTTTTAAAACTGCAGTCAACTGTATAATTACTTTAAATTTTTGTGTTTTGTTCACAAAGATTCTGATTCCGTTTTTCATGACGAAGTTTATTTTATTCACAATGATACTACATTCAAAGAATTAGATGTCCATATTTCATTACAGGAAATTAGTAGCACTATACGGAAATTGAATTGTGGTAAACCACCAGGACCTGATGGCCTGTTAAGTGAATGTTGCGAAGAATTGCTTCTTCAAACCCTTTCCACAATGTTTAATCACACGGATGTATGGAGAGTGTGGATGGTGCTAAGCATTCATACACGGAATACGGTAATCACACGGATGTATGGAGAGTGTGGATGGTGCTAAGCATTCAGACACGGAATACGGTACTCACACGGATGTATGGAGAGTGTGGATGGTGCTTAGCATTCGGACAAGGAATACGGTACTCACACTGATGTATGGAGGAGGAGTGTTGTGCTAAGCATTCAGACACGGAATACGGAATTCACACGGATTTATGGAAGGTTATGCATAACAATAAGGAGCTTTGCAAAAATAGATATACACAGATGATCTTAGAAGAGTTTTCATTTGATATAAAACATATTAAACGAGTCTGAGATTTGTTTTTATTTCACTGAGCCTTGAAATGAAAATTCGGGATTATTTTTATAAATCCTATAAAAGCGAGTATATTGTGATATTTCGTTAATACAAAGATATGTTTTTGCGATTTAAAGAGAAAACAACATTAGCGTTAATCCAAATACTAAATTGACGGTAATCTTCCTCCGTGTGTCTTCCTTTGTTGACGTCACAATGTATATAACGCCATGAATTAATGGCGTCACAATTAAACATTGAGAAGCTCCATCCTATCACAGCCCAGTCAGGCGTTAATTGTACATAACATATAATATGTGTCATTTTACCGTTACTAAGTAGTTATAAGATTGATGTGTACCATATGTACAAATACCATTCTTTTCTTGGTGTCGAAGTCCTTAACTGAAGTCAGTGTGCAAACTACTCCCTATACCGTTGACTGTAAAAGAAACTTTTGAACGTGATCGCTAATATCTAATGTTACAGGTAACTATTCTTTAATGTAACTTCTTACCGTCTAACTATAACTAGTAAACAATGTTGCATCAACAAGTATTGTTCGATTTTTAAGAAACCATTCAAGGTTTGTTTGAGGAACCTCAGCAACACATTTTATGACAACAGTCAAAATCTCCAACGTTTATGGATAATATTCTATGTACTGTGTAAGAGAAAATCATTGTTTTCCGGAGAAAATTTTGCCAGGAACATGTCGCGTATGGCCGAATATGAAAGATGGCGAGCAATCTAGAGGGTGAAATATCTCAAAATAATTTGGCATGACAACTGTGAATGCGTTTTCGGGAAACAAACACAGTACGGGACCGTCTACATACGTCTGCGTATGCCGTCACGTCGGTAAGATACCTATTTACAGATGTCATAGATGCATAACCGATCCCAGTCCTCAGTATCCGCCAGCGACGTCTCGCTATCTGCCCTGTTTTGCTTTAACGTCACAGGGTTGCGCGTTTAGCATGAGCAGAAAACATCAGCGATTTACACAAGGACAAGTCTTCAGTGTTATTCACAAATGAGTCCAGATTTCACCTTGATAGCAGTAACGGTCATGTTCGGGTGTACCGATGGCCGGGAAACGTTACAGTGACGCTTGTATAACTCGGCGTCGTCAGTTTGGCGAAGGAGCATTATGATCTGAGGTGACACTACAACATATGGAAAGAACCTGTTTGGTTTAGAAAGCAACTGTGTGCGCTACCGTGACGAAATTATACGTCATCGCATTCTTTCATGTAATATCCAACGTAACAGTATTTTGCAAAAGATCAGCGTATGAACTCACACTGAACGTGTTGTTGGGGCATATCTGCAGCAACAGAATGTCACCGTGCTACCTTGGTCTACTTTGTCATCATAGTCTGCGACAAGAGTTTAACCCTCATGCGACGTTGGACGCATGGCCTCGTAGATCGTTATGCATCTGCGCTTCATGGGTTGTAGTTTTGTGGCATTCATCAATGCGAATGGAGTACATAAAGAGTATTAAACTTGTGTGAAACTTCACGTTGTCCAATATTACAGCGCTTAGAAAGAGGACGAGTTAAGGAGACGGGAAACTTTACAAACCAACCAATCATCGATTTGCACCCCTCTTCATTTCTGTGGCTGTAAATTTCAATCCCGATTGACCGAATGTCTGATTCACTGTGTCATTATGAATATAATACGCGGTGCAAATTAAAATGACGTGTTTAGTAACGTAAGAAACAGACCGGCCTTCGCCTTCATGGGAGTGTCCTTGGACAAGACATCTTACTCTCATTGCTCTGGATGACACGAGACGGCCCTGCAGTACAGGGAGGAAGCCATCAGCTACTACATGGAGATTCCACCTCAAAATGATACAGGCTGCAAACAAGCGAATAGGAAAGCTATTTACTTATACATGATTAGAGTATCAAATCGTCCTGTTTTGTAACGACTTTGTCCTTCACCAAGTTACGGTACTCCAATAACCTTGAGTGGTGTGCAATGGACCTCTCAAATGGTCTTCAATGAGGAACTTTCAGTGACTGCAGTCCAATTTACGAAACAATAAACCTAGCAAAGAAACATGCAGACAAAAATCAAAATAAAATATTTTTAAAATCTACTCATAGATTGATTTCAATCTGTGAATAACATTTAGCTTATTTAAGTCCAAAGTCCATTTAAGCAAGTGAAATGAAATTTTTGAATTTGTAAAACAAGTTTTTTTTTGCCACTCCATTTTTCAGATATTCCGTATTTTCATCATTGTATGCTCACGATTCACCAATGCAGACAAGTCGAAGTATACACGCTTATCTCCCCTGATTGTCAGCTATTGATAATGTCATTTTTGTAACGGCCTATACTTTCAATGTTCCCAGAATGGCGAGCCTTGCCACCAATCCCCAACAGCACTACACGTATTTGTGTATCAAATGAGTCCAAGAGTTCGGTGACAGGACTACAACAGCACTACACGTATTTGTGTATCAAATGAGTCCAAGAGTTCGGTGACAATACTACAACAGCACTACACGTATTTGTGTATCAAATGAGTCCAAGAGTTCGGTGACAGGACTACAACAGCACTACACGTATTTGTGTATCAAATAGTCCAAGAGTTCGGTGACAGGACTACAACAGCACTACACGTATTTGTGTATCAAATGAGTCCAAGAGTTCGGTGACAATACTACAACAGCACTACACGTATTTGTGTATCAAATGAGTCCAAGAGTTCGGTGACAGGTGTATCAAATGAGTCCAAGAGTTCTGTGACAGGACTACAACAGCATTACATGGCATCTGAGTT